AGAGCCAATCCAGAATTTGTTGCCGCACATCACAAGCTCCCCAAGGAAATGTCGAAAGTCCTAGCAACCAAAACGTGGGACACCATTTCTGAACAACAATTGGTTGTTTCTGCAGCATCATGGTCCTTCCTGCGCTACTATTCGCAGAACAACTTGAGCACGCAGAACGTGAAATTGAAGGCCTGGGGTGAATCAGCAAAGTAGCGGTCTGTGATTGAATAGCTCTGTTCTAAGAACAACATGTTCCTGAGGACGGCTTGTGGGCTGTGTTTGCCCAGTTTGGGCAAATCATTACTTTGCGCAATGTGGAAGAGACCTACATTGTTCTGGGATCCTTCAAATGGGCAGTGTTGGCATGGCGGTTGTCCGAAGTTCATGAGGGCGGCAGGTGCTCGGGCTGGCAGTTGCAAGTGGAGGCCGGTTGCTCATGGCAGTTCCTTCACAACCCTGAGGAATGGGAAGCATGTGAAGCCACTCCGAAATTGTCAACACAGGCAGGACTCTATTTCAAAGCCACGTGTGGTTGGGAACCACTTGTGCAAAACACTTTGCGCTCCGGGCACAAAAGGACCTTTGCGGAGTTGACATTGATGGCGGACTACTTGAATGTGACACAACCCCACAAGAATTCCAAGAAGGAGTTGTTGAAACAGTGTCAGGAGTGTTTCGGAGAAGAGTTTGCAGAAGCTTGCCGTGAAGCTGCAGAGTCAGACACTCAGAAGGCTCCTGATGCAGATATGCCTGATGGTTTTCTATCAGCATTGTTGGACAACATGGAGCCCTCAGATAAACAGGATTTCCAGGACTTGGAGAAAGCCCTGATGCGACAGGAACAGCAGGCCGAGCAACAACGTTGGCAAAACATGTGGGATGAGAAGGTTGCAGAACAAAAGGCACCCTGGCAAGACCTTCCAGTGAGTTTCTGAGCTAGGCTTAGACTCAATTGTTGTGATTCAAATGTGACTCAATTGTGACTCAATTGTGATTCGATTGCAGGCCAAAAGAGCGAGGAGAGCTGTGGCAAAAGCCAAAGCAAAGTCAAAACCGTGTGCCAAAGCAAAATGCAAAGGCAAGGGCAAAGGAAAAGGCAAAGGCCGTGGAAAAGGCAATGGGTTTGGAAGAGGCACAGCTTTGGGCTTGCAAGGGCTGGCTCGCAGGCAAGCAGCGTCACGAAAACGCAAGGAGCAGGTGCTCGAACAAATGCCCGGACCAGCAGTGGAAGAAGATCCAGATATCGCTGAACTCAAAGAGGAGTTGGAAAGCCAGCTGTTGGACATGAATGTCATGGACGATCGAACAAATCCTGATTCATTGCCGGCAGAGCCTTGTGTCCATGCTCCCAGTCCAAGAGAGCCCGCCCCCTCACCGGAGCCTTGCGCCCATCCTCCCAGTCCACACACTGGTGAAGGAGAGCCCGCCCCCCCGGCGGAGGAGCCCTGTGTCGATGCTTCCCGTCCACACTCTGTGCTTGGTGGTGCCGGGGTCGCACACGAGGAAACAAAAGTGCAAGCACAGCCATCCAATGGGACCTTGCCGGATCCAATATCCGGGCCAAGGGACAGTGGAATGGCACAGGCCTCGTCCTCGAGCGGATCAGCCCCTGAGCAGGTCCTTGATGATGCTGCACATCGTGGCCAGGCATCGCAACGTGCTCCGCGCGAGCATGGTCCACACTTGAATAACACTCCCGACTTCCTGTCGGAGTTGGATCCACCCGAAGACTTCAAGTTGCGTCTCAGCTTCAACGATCATCGCTTCAAAGCCGAGATCATGACAAAACAGTATGTGTCAAGTGAGGGGAAAAAGTCTTGCAGCAAAAGCTTTGCTAACGACAGATCAGACTGGAAGCAAGCACTGGCTCAAGTGCATCGCTGGGCGTGGACAGAGTGGGAGAAGGCCAAACCTGAAAGGCAACTGCCGCCTCATTGTCAGCCTGGCACTATCCCTGAGGCTGTCCTGGAACGCCTTGCCCCGATTATCGACGCAATGCCTCCGCCCACAAAGTATGCCAAGTAGCCTCTTCAGTTTTTTTTGGTGATAAACACATCACAGGGGAAAACATGTCAGCAGGTTGCAGATTTCTGTCAATGTCATGTATGCAAGTATCGTGTTCTTAGCTTCAAGTCTTCGGTCGATTCAAGAAGTCACAGGGAGTGAGTTCATCCAGCCGAGTCCAATGTGTGTGAATCTGCTCCTGCTGTCATAGCGGCAACATGTTCGATTCACAATTTTGGCTTCAGCTTGTGCGCAGTTGCTGTTCATTCTGTGATTGAGTCTTTACAGTTACGTTGCAATTACAGTTGCTGAATGCCTGAAGTGTGCAATTGAAGATGACATGACATGAATCATGAAGTCTCACCATAGTTATGCTGCAGATTGCTCGGGGAGAAAGCGATCAGCAAAAACAAGCCTTCCTGACATTGTGTCCTGTTAGTTTGTGGAATGTGCTTGATATGCCAGGCAAGCATTGAATCCATTTGTTGCTCAAGTTGGACCAGAGGTATGGTTTAAAGTTATGTGGGACAACAAATCAATGTATTGATGTCAGTGAATCACCAACATGTCCAATTTCCAGTGGCCGTGCCAGCATGTGCTGGGATCATCGCTGGTCTTCAGTGGTAGTGCTGGGCCTGTGAAGCCAGCACGCAAGAAATGCAAAAGGAAAAAGAATGCTGCAGAGTCATTTGAGTTGGGAGGTAGATCAGTGGAGCGCCCGTGTACTCTTCCTGCCTTGAATTTTACCGATACAGTTTCAAGCACAGGAACTGATGAAATTGATGATCGGTTTGACACTTGGGTAGAGGACGTCTTCGAGCAAACATCGCGATTGCAATGTTCGCATTTCCTTCCGTTTGCTTCCTTGTCTTTCTCCCCAAGGCCGGAGTCTGTTCAAGTGTTATGGGTCACAGATTTTGTTATAATTTGAATTTTTCATTAATGTAATACTACATAAACTTATCATCATCCTCAATTGATCTTGCTGGCCAGGTCCACAGAGCCTTGGTGTCACAGGCTCATGGTTGCAAGGATTTTGGTGCAAAATTTCTTGCGCTACGACCAGGACTTCAATGTGGGCAGAGTGGCCATGAAATGGCATGGGCTGATTGGATTGGCTTATCCCGCATTGAAGAACCGAACCATCGAGTGTCAGCTGATGTGCATCATTAGCCGTAGCTATGACAACAGAGCCAAGATTGAAGCAGCTTCAATCGATGTGGGACCCCATCAATGTGCGGGGTTGCTGCAATACATTGAATACTATGCAGGGAGCGCCAAACTTTCGAAGAAATTGATCGAATCCGGTCTCCGTGGGTGCAGCTTTGACATACTCTACAATGACGAACACAACATGTTGCTAGCGAAAGGGTTGCGTTTGTTTCTGGATGCAGCCACAGCGTGTGAGAAGAAGGCTTTGCATTGGTGGGGCACTCCGTGCTCTTCTTTTGTCATTATGTGCTCATTTCGTTCCCAACGTGCTGAAAGCAACGGCTGGGAAGGCGCATGGACTGAGCGGGACTTTGTATTGCAGGGAAATTGTCAGGCCCTTGTTTGCTCACTTGGGATTTTCCTGGGATGGGCATGTGAGTGCTGCCCTGTGGTGGAACAGCCCCTCAGCTCCTGTATGCCGCACCTCGAGTGTGTCAAAACAGTTCTATCCTTTTGTGGCTTCGAAAAGACTTGCACCTACATGGGTGCCTTTAACGGAAAGTCAGTGAAGCCCTTGCAACTGTGGCATTTGCCTGGGTTTCATTTTGAGAACCTGGCCAGGCCCAAACCAGATCATAATGCTTTCATTGGTCTGGTAAACCGAGGCGAAGACGGCCGTTTCACCGGTGTGCCAGCAGATGTACAGGCTAGTGGGGAATACACTTCGATGTTCGGGGAAGCAGTTGCGCAGATTGTCCGGAATCTATTGTGACGATCCGCTTCGTCAGCCAAAATACGTTTCATAGCTTACTGAGCTGCATGCTTTTTATTATTCAAGCCAATCTGCTGTGACTGGTTTTTGGGGTGTGAATGCTGTGACACAACAGCAACAGCAGGCCATGCAGCAACACAGGTAAAACAGTGCGATGACTGATGAGAAGGTTGCATAACAATTGAGACACAAGTCTGATTTGCTTGCAGCCTTATGTCGATGTGGCTGTCTCAGTGAACACACTTGGAGGAACAGAATTGATATGGCTCTTTCAGTGAATGAGTATGCGCCGGCAAATCAGGGCCTTGGACGTCGTGCTTGCCTTCTTTGCCCCACTTGAGGAGGATTCCTCAAGATTTCCTCAATTCGAATCGTCAACCTTGCCAAGCAATGCCATGCTGACTCAAGATTTCCTCAACCTTGCAGCAACCTGTTTAAGTTGACAGGTTGTTCTGAGCAGTGTGAGGAAACAATAGATGCCATCCACTGTGACCTTGCCCGATGTGCCCATGTCGGTGCAAGGGGTCAGTGGCATGGCACAAGTGAACACACTTGAGGAACAATTTCTTGTTGACAATTTGGGAGTCACACCTTTGCAGCTTCTGCCGGCTCTTGCACAGACGTCCTCAGCCTTGCGAAAACCTGTTGGTGTTGCCGGGCTCTCACCCGAAGAGCCATCAAGTTTCCTTGCTTGGGGACACAAAGGCCAGCCATCTAGTGTGACCTTGCCCGACGTGCCAATGTCGGTGCAAGGGGTCACTGGAATGGCACAGCTTCCGGTTGCTCTGTTCACACACCGGCTTGGACAGAAATAATACTACATTTTTTCATGGTTTTCTCAACAATTTTCAGTGTCTGCAAATCTCCAGTTACATTAATTCTGGACAAACCTACCGTGTCGTAACGTATCCAATAAGTCTTTGTTCAGGTTGACTTCTGATTTTGATAACTTTGGTTTTTGCCAAGCCCACTGATCCAGCCCCCGCGGATCCAACCCTACAAACGAGCATATTGAATCATTCCACATTCACCTGCATGTTTTGTGGGGTGGCTCCTGATGTGATCTCCGCAGTATCGGCACTTCACACTGCTAAGGGCCAGGTTTTTCCTATTAGCCTTTGCACGGCGTCGGGCCAGCTGCAAGTAGGGCACTGCCCATGCATGATGAGCTTGCATATGGAGTGTGATGCCACGTGCTTGTATTAGCCACTGCCCGCAGATTGGGCAATACCGGAAACAGTCTGCCTTTTGCGCCTGCAAGGTCAATGCTACCTTTTCCCATCCCTTGCCAGCCAGTTCTTGAATCTCCAAACGCCAGTAGGGTGGAAGTGGATTGGGAGGGGTCTGACTAGGGAGAAGAGTTACCGAGTCAGGGAAGAGAATTTCACATGATCTGGTAAGGATGTGAATTTTCAGTTCCTCCCAATTTCGACATGCCCTCTGACAATGGCGGCACATGCACAGGCCTAGGTGGGCATGGAGCCATGAAAATCTTGTCTGCGGATCCGCTCCATGGAGACAGGCAGGCAGTCCCTTCGTAAGAAGGTCGTCGGCAGCATGATACCCTACATTCCTTCGGCTAATGGCTTTATGCTGTGCCCTTTCCTGGCGCTGTTTGGCAATACGGGCCTTAAAGGAGCGCTTGGTTTCCTTGTTACGAGTGACAGGGGTAGAATGGCCCGGTTCGGCACGCTCGGGTTGATGCTCAGTGGGGGCTTCGAGGAGTTCATGCTTGGCCTTATGATGCACTCTGAGTGCCGCTAGTGACGAGAACTCCTGCCTGCAGACTGGACATGTGAGGGTCCGTGGTGCATGTGCACTACGATCCGTGTAGGAGGAGGTCTTATCCAGGGCATGTTGGTCAGGAGGTTTGGATGACGGAAGCAGCGGGGTGGGCTGAGGATCAGTAGGGAGCAGCACCATAGGCGTCTCAGAGAAGATGCCACTCAGGGTTCGTCGCCATTCCTGATGAGCCGCTGTTATCACCAGTGATTCAGGCCATCGGCTAAGCGTGAACTGTTGGCAAAGGGATGTCCAAGGATCAGGCAAGTCAAGGCGGTGCAGAATTTCAGGCGAGGTGACATGCCAGAGGTGAGCTGGTGATCTGGCTATCATGCGCAGTTGTCTATGAATGGCTTGCCGGATGATCTGGTGTCCATGTGGGGGAAGGCCTACGCTATGAAGGGAGTATCTTAGGACACTCAGGACACATGCTTGCCAGAGCCTGACTCGGAGACGAAGACTGAGGGATCGGCTGATGAGCAGATGATGTAGCCTCCAGTAAGAACCCCAGGCAGTGTGGAGGCGATGTTGGAGATTGAGTTTTTCGAAGCCGTGGTAGGAAAGTTTTGCCCCCAAGTATTTGTGGGACTGGACAATTCGGAAGTGGTAGCGTTGCTGTCCTACTCTGATCTCCAGATGCGGCACTGATTGAATGACCCTCCTATACTTGCTTAGCACCGAGCCTAAACTGGTACCTTTTGCCGCTAACAGAATGACCGTCTTTTCAGGACTAAGCTGGAGGCCTGCTTCCTGTAGCGTGTGTATCAGTACTCCCATTGCTTGTAGCGCGTGGCTGAGAGCTTCCTGGCTTTTAAACATCCAGCTACTGAAGAAGTCATCTGCAAAAATGTTGGTGAGTCCTTCCGAGAGACCCTGGATTCGCAGCTTTCGGCAGTATTCCCTGTAGATGCGTCCTGTGGCTAGGGCCCAGAGGATGGGAGAAAGGGAGCATCCCTGCCGAATTCCTGTGCCAAGGAAAACCTGCGCCTTGTGAGTATGGGAACCGATTTGCATGCAGGCTTGGGAGTGCAAGTGGAGGATGAGGGCGATTTCGGCTTCCTCAAATTGCGCTTCTCTCATGGCTGCTTCGAGGTAAGAATGAGACAGGCTGTCAAATGCCTTCCGGATGTCCAAACTGAGAGATAGGCCTCCGAGCAGCTTCGGTGGTTGGTGACCTTGAAAGCGCTGTAGGAGTGAGCAGCTGTGTTTGCTGAGCATATCACGGACGGAGTGTAGGTGGGAGCATACCGATTCCAGCGCTTGGGCGGTTGATCGGCCGGGGAGGTAGGCCCACTGAGGGGCCGATGCAAGGTAGGCCATTGCTTTAGGAAGAATCTTATCTGCTATCATTGTTGCTAACAACTTGTTTGCCGGGTGAAGTAGGGCTATGGGTCGTAGCGACTTCGGTTCCTTGACAATGGCTATCTTGGGAATAAGGTGGAGTTGGACCTTATGCCAAGCTTCCAGGAGCTGTGATGATTGCAGGTTCATGCATGGCAATAGGGCAGGACCGACAATGTCTGGAACCAGCTTCCAGAGTCGGGCTGGGGCAAAGGCGGAGGGCAAAGCTTTGCCAGCACTCAGTTTCCCAAGCGCTTTCTGGACATCTTCCAGAGCGAATTGTATACCTGTGATCGGATTTACAGGGGGAGGGCAAGTGATGTCCTGGCTGTGGTATACCTGCCTCAGATATTGGGCTATGCAGGTGGACTCTGCTACGCCAACCAGCAGTTGCCCTGTCGGGCCACGAAGTTGTATTCTCATGTGCCGGGTTTTGGGCGCCAGCCTACGAACTACGCTGAAGATGGCAGAGGGTCTGTTGGTGGCTTCGGCTTCCTTAAGAAGCGTTTCTACCCTTTCTCTCTTGTGCTGCAGGTAGTGCTTTTTGAGGTGTCTTTGCAGTCTCTGTATGCGGGCCGTCATGAGCCAACTTTGTAGGACTGAGGCTGTGGCTGAAGCATGGCGGCAGGCCTTGCGTAAAGCCCACAGTTTGCGTAGTAGTCCTGGAGGTTCTTCCGGGGAGGAGAGGCCAGGCGGAGGTGCTGGAAAAACCTCCTGCCAGGCCTTCTGAAGTAGATTGTTGATGGTCTCGGCCGGATCCTGACAGCTCGGGAGCTTTGCAGCTAGTCTGCGGGCAGCTGAAAACGAGTGGCTAGTTGGGGGTCGGCGAGTAGCTGTTTGGTGGTTGTGGCTGCGTTGATTTGTGGCGATTGGGATGGGCGAGGGGTTTTTGGTGGAGTAGGTCGGGGCAGCGAGGCAAAAACTGGATAGTGTCGCATTCCTGTAGTGGGGACAAAAGGTGCCATAATAGTGTGCGAGGACTTGGCTAGTGAGTCCGCCTGATGGGTGCGAAGGAAAATGAAGTCGATCTGCGTCTTCTGAGTTCCAGTTTTGCAATCAAACTGGTAAGTATGACAGTGTTTCTTACGACCCCAGGTATTTAATGCCGTCAAGCCATGATGGGTAATGATGTGCTGGAACCGATGTTGGTCTTTTTGACGCACAGTTTCGGGGGTGGCCATGACACTGTTTCCCACATGTGGGTGATGAGGGAGGCATGGGGCATTGAAATCGCCCAGTAGGAGTAGTTGCGAACGCCATGGGACAGCTCGCACCAGTTGTGCAAGTTGTGTCCAGAGTTTTTCTCGATTTGCCATGGTCTCTTCCAGTTGTCGTCCATCGTTCCAGACATGCTGATAAATGGCGAAAATATGCACACTAGGCTCCGTATCCAGCTTGATCTGCAGAAGGCGGCCCTCTATGGGGGTGTTCATCCTGATTTGGGAGGCTGAAACGACACTCCTGTGAATCAAGGCTAAAATTCCTGCCTGTCTGCTGTTCTGGCCGGTATGTACGACATGATAGGAGGCCGTCGCCCACTCAGAGTCGAATGCCCAATGTGTCTCTAAGAGAAGGCATATGTGAATTGTCTGTCCCCGGGAGTGGCTTAAGTCAAGCCATGCTTCTACTTCTTTGAGCTTGACCGTGGTGAGGCCTCCAGCGTTCCAGGAGATCACCTTCAATCGGGGCGGTTGCCTGGCTGGTCGGGAGCTGTTTGGGATATGCGGAGGGGAACCTCCGTGATCCTGTTGGGGTTGGTGGGAGACTCCCAAGGATTGCAGGGTATGCTGACGGCCCTTGTATTGGACCGTGCCTTTGAGGCGGGCAGTTTTGACTGCTCTGTGGAATGATCGTTTTCCAGTCTTTGTAAGCTGCGTGTAAACAGTTCCTAGGATGGGTGCGCTTGATCTAGGAAGGTGTCTAGGTTCACTAGGCTTCGCTGGCCTGATTGGAACCTGGTGGGAGCTTCTTGTGCTAGCTCCTGAGGGCCTCGTGACTATGCCCTCAACCCTCGCGTCTGCAGGCATGATGGTGGAGGTCTGAATGCTTTGCATGAACAGGCTGTAGACCAGCAGTCTGCTCCGGGACTTGGGACCCGGACGGCTCGAAACTGAAGGCTCGCTATGTGGTCGGGGGGGAGTAGGTGAGCTCAGCACTTCGTGGGGAATGGGAGGCGCTATCCTGGGGTGGCGGGATTTAACCTGGTTGTCCGACTCTGGTCTGTGCTGAATAGCTTGGAGGTGCTGGTATGCGGCTTGAAGCAGGGCTCTGAAATTTATTCGCAGCACCTTCCACACTGGTTTCTTGCCTCGGTGGGGGCTAGACCTAGGCTTGACATGGCTGAATTTCTGACCCCATTGAGTGGCATCATGAACCCCCAGCTGTGGCCTGACGTTGGATGGTCCGGTAGAGCTGGAGTCCTGACCGCAGGTAGGAGGGGAGCACAATGTTGCGGCAGAGTGGGGAATGCCTGAGTCTCCCGGGACCCAAGACGTGCTGATCAGACAGGCATGGGGCTTAAGGAGCAGAGGAACTGATGCTGAATCTGGCCTGAAAGGCAGTGGCTGGCTAGACAGATCGCACTTCGGGCTGTCCGGAGGTTGTTTCAAACACTGGCAGCGGTCATCGACGGTCTGAGCAGCAGTGGCCCTGATTTTGAAACAGATTCCACACCGAAATCCTGAGCGTATCAGCATCTTTGCACAAGCTGTGCTACGGCTGGGCCTTGTCCTCTCGGTGGTCGAGATTGGCTGTTCAGACAGAGAGGAGGAGGAAGTGGGTAAAAGGTCGCCTGGTAGAAGATCGCCAACAGGATCTGTCGCTGTCGCAGGGTCCTCGATGGCTTCTCTCGCGGTTTGCCGGCCTTCGGGTGGACTCATCGGGGAGGCGGTCGCTCCCGCACATGTAGAGGCGGCTGCACTGATGTGAGGAGCCATGCTGGGACGCGGCCTTGGCTCGGTGCCCTGGCTTCGTCCCGTCCTCTTGCGATTGCGAGAGCGATCCAAACCTGAGGATGGTTCAGTCAACCCAGTCGAACCAGAGGAGATTTCAGCATGAGGTTCTCTGCGATGGCCTGGAATTCGAGAGAGAAGCTCTCCCACCGGTGTGCCTGCTTGGGGTGGTACATGAGGGCTGTCTGGTCGGCTTGCCGTAGTCAGGATCGGAGCAGCATCGCCGTCATTGGGAAGAGATCCCTCTCCAGTGTGTGGGGGGGAGGTCGCATCCCCATAGATGAAGTCCTCGAGTTCCGAGCTGTTCGGAGCAGGGTGTTCCAGGTCAGAGTCATCACTCAGGCTCATCTTGCTATGCTCTGGCAGGACTGCACACGGGAGCCAGATGGCTGTTGGAGGGAAGTTGTGTGAGGTGGAGCATGAAGGAGCTGGCTGACACCTAAGGTGGTTGTTTCTGTCCCTATGGTGTCCGAACCCTCGACAGTGATGGTCGGTCCTTGGTGGGAGCGCATCTGAAGTCGAAATCCGCTGGACAGGCCTCAGCAGTTGTGGAAGTCCGACAGCTGGGCAGATCGCATCTAGAGTGATAGGAGAGGCTTGCTGGGGTAGGGTGAGAAGCATGTTGGCGCTGCAGAGCTTAGGGCGGAGGATGGGGAGAACCTCCGGAGGACTAGGTAATGAGGGTGTGGGTGGCAGTTGAGAAGACTGTAACTGATTAGCAGCCAGACACTGAAAGGCACACATCGCTTTGCATAACGTGTTGGCTGAGTGCCCCTGCCGTGATCGCATCTGCCAGATCCTGCACCGGGAAGCAGTACTATTACAGACATGTGAGGCTGAGGCAGGGGTAGGAGTGGGGGTGGGGAACAGCTGGTGGCACACCTCGTGAGAGTGAGCATGAGCCGAGCTCTGCATGTAATCACTCGCTGGCTTCTGGTCTGTGTCTGTCGGCGGCTGCACAGTGGCTACCGTGCTACGTCTGGCACGTTTCCTATGAGGTGGCTGTGGCGCCGGCTCTGTGGGTCGCCTCTCTAAAGCCTTCCGGATCCATTCTGGCATGTCGAGCACAGGCGTCGGCTCAGGATTGGATGGAGTCGTCAGAAACCACTGCCTGTGACCGGTGTCCGGGTTAGCCTCGTCATCCTGGGTGAGGGTCCCGATTCTGGTGAACTCCACATCTCCAGGTGTGTCGGCCGAAGGAGTGGGAAGCACAACCTCCAGTTCCGGAGGAATGGCAGTGTCTTGTGCCTCCGCCGTTGGTGCGGAGGAGGGCTCGGAGGGAATGCAACCTCCGCGGTCAGCAGACTGCTGCTGCTTCTTCTCATCAGCTGAGGACTCCACGTTCTCATCTTCTTCAGGCCGCGGTATTGTGAGCGACTTTGGTGGCTTGCTTTTGCTCTTGACAGCCGTGGACTTCTTGATGATCGCTCTGGCCTGTCCCGGTGAGAGCCGCAGTCTTGTGGGCTTTCTGGCCTGAGACTGTAGTGCCTGCTGCTGACGTTGGAAACGACCAATGGAGCCCTTGGCGAACTTCCGGCGGGGCTCCTCCTGCTCGGGTAGCACAGGTTGGGCCATCTGCGCTGTTTGGTCCGATGTCTCTTCCTGCTTGACAGCAAGGTCGCTTTGACTTTGAGGCACCCGGAGTCCAAGGGTAGGCATGGCTTTTGGTTTGGGTTCAAGACGCGGTGCCTCACCCGCGGGTGCAGAGGTCTCGGCCAGCAAGGAGGTCGCAACAGGTGAAGGCGTTCGCGGCATTGGTCTCGGTGGTGAGTCCTCAATCTCCACTTCAATGAGTACATCCTCGGTGTCGGCAGCTGTATGATTTGCATCCGGAGAGGGTGTCCTTGGTTCCGGGATAGGGACGAACTCATTCACTGCTGTTGCCGTTGGCTCTCCACGGCGAGCACGAGGAGGCGGAGGTGGCTGCCGATTTCCACGTCGTTGTGGTCCATGGTGAGCTCTCCTGGCCTGTGAAAACAGTGTCAGAGGGGGCTGCGTCCTTTGTGCCGTCCTTCTAGTCCCTCTGGGGCCTGCCGAGCTTGATGACGGATGCCTCTGGTTGCTAGGTCCACTCTCAGCTGGGTCGTCATTGGGTTGTTGACCTGACTCTGCCAGTTCCTTGAGCCGGAGTCTGGTCCTTTTGTCGGGACGTCGGGCTTCTCGAATGTAGTCTCGCTCCGTTTTATCCTGTGGCTCATGGCTGCTGAAGCCTGAGCCTCTACTGAAGCATCTGAAGGCTTGAGAGGAAGCACCCCGTCAGGCATGGCAGTATGTCCTAATGACGTGGTGTCACTGCTACGTCGGCAGACTGGGCAGAGAACTGGGCATGGCGGTCCTCGTGCCTGAGGGAGAGTGCACAAAGTTGCCCCGTGTAGGAGGGCCCCAATGACCTGGTGCCGGGGTGTTTTGCACAGGAAGGGCGGAGGGGAACCTCCACGCATGGGTTGTGTCATCGGCATAAAGCAGGTTGGGAATGTTGTAGGGATGGCAAGGGGAGTGCAGATGTTCGGAGGGGAACCTCCAGTGACGTTGCAAGTGTGCGTGCTAGGTACCGAGGGGGTTGAGGGCTCTGGGGCTCCCGTCCAAACAGGTGTACGATTTCCTACCGGCTGGTGCTCTGAGGTCGCGGCCGTTGGCAGGATGTGACCCTGTAGCAGTAGGCAAAGAGGTATGCACAATCTCAGGATCCTGTGTTTCGGGCACCGAGGGATCCGAGCACGGTATCGCCCATCACCCCTGTGAGATGGTGGGCCTAAGATGTCTGGCAGTTTGCTCTGTCGATGTTGCGTTTCATCCACCGTGCTAGAGCTGTAGCTGTCCTGGCAGAAGGAATGTAGGGTGTTAATCCAATGCTTCAAGGTCAGCTGCCCTACCGATTCGTGAGGCATAGGCGGCATCCAGAACACTTGCAGCAAAATCTGAATCAAGCTGGTAAGTGCGATCCAGAAAATCCACGCGCTGTTCCGGAGAAAGCCATGTCCAGGTTTCTTGCCATATACAGAAAGAGGATGTACGCAGCCATGATATTCCGTACAGATTCTGCAGGCTGAGTCTGGAGCTAAAGGGCAGGGGTCGAAGGGCCAGAAGCAAAAACTCAGTGGCCAACTGTCTGACGTGAAATTCAGTCGAAGTTTCCCATCGCCACCACGTAGCCCGAAGCGGTATTTTATTTGCGCCATGTGGAGCGCACAGTGCCATGTCCATGTCATTCCCTGAATCCCTGAAGACAGTGGGGCAAAGGTGAAGGGATGAGTGGGGAGAGAGCCTGATGTGGCTATGAGGGGAGGGGAGACGAAAACCACCCCCGGGCGCGTCGTTGCGAGCCGAGACGCTTAGTAGTAGTTGTAGTAGTAGTAGTAGTAGTAGTAGTAGTAGTAGTAGTAGTAGTAGTAGTAGTAGTAGTAGTAGTAGTAGTAGTAGTAGTAGTAGTAGTAGTAGTAGTAGTAGTAGTAGTAGTAGTAGTAGTAGTAGTAGTAGTACTGTAGTAGTAGTAGTAGTAGTAGTAGTAGTAGTAGTAGTAGTAGTAGTAGTAGTAGTAGTAGTAGTGGTAGTGGTAGTGGTGGTAGTAGTGGTAGTAGCAGTAGCAGCAGCAGTAGCAGTAGGAGTAGGAGTAGGAGCAGGTATAGTTAGTTGTTTGGGGTAGTTGGGAGGTCGTACTTCGTAGATCGTGCTTCGTATTAAGTAGGTAGGAGGTAGCAGCTAACAGCAAGTAACTCTTGTAGCAGTATAGCCTATAGCAGCAGTGGCAGTGGTGGTGGTCGTCGTCGCGGCAGCGGTGGTAGGGCTGGCAGCGGTAGCGATATTGGCAGAAGCACCCAGTAGTGGTAGTACATCTCCGACTCAGACCACTGCTGCCGCTGCTCCTGTTACTTGTACTGGTACTTCTGCTACTGCTGCTACGGCAACTCATCCGTCCTTGCATTTCAACACCCTCTCCGATCTTCAACACGGACATCTCTCTGACAGACTCCTTCAAGTCCCCGCCCCCTCCCCTCCCGTTCCCGAACTCCGACAGAAGACAAAGAGGGAGCCAAGGAGATCAAGGCTTCGGGCCCATGGAAGAGGTTCGGAAGCCCTGCGATGGGCACGGGCTCTATGAAGCGCTTGGCATCCCAGTCCTGGCGTCGCGAGGTGCGCTTCTTTGCTTTGCTACGTTCTAGCAGCTTAGGACCGGGTAAGCGACGCAGGTCGCCCCGGCTTCCGACCTTCCTAGAACGATAAGGATGACCCGAGCGGCTGGGTGAAAGCCTCAGAGTCTCTGCAAACCATCATGAACAGAAAACTCCAACCCGTAACCTCTTTTTAGTTTGAGCAGGGACTGCAATGCACTGACTCCAGACGCCAGCCCTTATGGTTGAGAACCCGTAACCACTAAACCCTAAAACCTCTTCGGAAACTCATAGGGACAACCTCTGGTTCTCCTCTGGTTCGGGTCCCCTTGTTTTTTATCCTGAAGCTCCCACGCCATTCACTGCGGAGTTCGAGAACCTCCCACCTGGGTCATTCCACGAATCCTTTGGGGTAGATTGCCCGCGGGGTGCTCAGTTACAAGAAGAACACGAGATTCGGGACTCGGGTTTGGCCCCACACGCCGGAGCCTCGGATGCAACAAACTCATTCGGGTTGATCCGTAAGCCGAAGTCTTCCCAGCCTCTGCCGGGATGTTCTTTAACATCTCTGCAACCAGCACCTGAACGAATGCAAATATCCGTGCAATGTGCGCAGGGCCCTGAATTTTCCAACTCGCAGCTACACGCTGAGTGTATCATGCGCACAGCTCCTCAACCCTATGCGTCCATAACTTTGGATATACAATCAGAAGGTATACCTTTCCACATCAATACCGCCATCAACTTCAAGGCTCCAACATGCAACGACTCCAGGCAAGGCGTCTGTCAGTGTGAGGGTGTGTGTGTGTGTACATGCGTGTGTATGCGTGCGTAAGTGTATGTGTGCATGCATGTGTGCAGATGCTCGAGCCCCGCCACTCTCTTCAAAATTTCGATAAAATTTCACTATGCCGGCATTACAATTACCGATTCGCCCTGACTGATGGTCGCTCATGGCGAAGCCAGACCGCAAGAATGCTGATGATCATGATGATGCTGCTGCCGATGACCCTGATGCTGGATATCATGGTTCACAAAGATGGGGGTGATGCTTACGATTGTCATGAAGCCTGGACGACGAAGAGAATGTTGATGGTGTAGTGGAGATCATGATTCTGAAAACAGCAGCCGCGAGCCTCTCTGCTATCACCCCCTCTTGGCATCAGACCGGGCAGTCGGTGGTCACCGTGAAGGGGTTGGGCAGGTCAGGCACTGCGCCTGATCGGCCACAACCATCCACAGCCTACCCCGAACCAGCTCTCGGTGCAAATAAGTTCTGTTTGCGCGGCGCAACGACTGCGGTAGCGGTTCTCGGGCTCCCACACAAAATCTCTGATGCCTCCACGGCCGCCCGCTTAGCAGCAAGTGGTGTGATGGTCCCGAGTCTGAGGAGCACACCTAGCTTCCCACAGATGCTGGGATCCGGCCTGGTGGCAGCAGGTGCAGCTCAGCTTTTTCGTTTGTCCTCCCTTACTAGCATCACCACAACAGCAACAGCGAACCGCGACGACAACAACGACGTCAGCGACAGCGACAGCAGGATAAGTAGCAACAGCAGCAACAGCTATAGCAACTTTCCGCAGTATTCAGAACCATCTGAATGCTACCGACCACATCACCCACCACCACCACCACCTCCATCATCGTCATCGTACGATCATCGCCATCGACCATCCCCCAGAATGCCTCATCCTCGTCACCACCATCTGGACCTGCGGCTCACCACTTCCTGAGTCTGGCACACCGCCTGTCCCACCTCCGATCGTTTGCCGCGCTGTTGCCACACCTGGCACATCTCTTAGAACGGGCCCGGGGCCCCTCAATGAAACTTTCGGGCAGACTCATGACCCTGAAGCCCCATCCAAATCGAAACCCTACGCCGAAATGCACGAGCCCCAAGACTCTCGGCTTCAGATAACTTCGGTTATAATCACAGTTACCCTACTTATAACCCCACTCAAAACTACCCCTGAACTCCAGGTCTTCAAATGCCCCCACAGCTGCTCCACCGTGGCCTCGGAGCCGTTGATCTGCAAGGCTCGGCACGTGAGGCTCGCCGCCCCAGACTTTCCTCCCAGGTCAGGAGGTGTCGGCTGTTCCATATAGTGGCCTTAATTATTAGAACAAGGTTTTGGGGTATATTACACTACGATAATAACTATGTTTAGGCCCCTATATTAGACTATGGGGTGTGGGGATGTTTGTTGACGCTTGAGGCTTACTCTCGGATAAGTCCAGATACGGGCTGAAGACGAAGCTGAGAAAACTCACAATACAATCAGACTTGGAGTATTCTAGGGTTTCGGAATGGTTGAGTTGAGATTCTCCGTTGTGCTTTTCCCAACCTCCTGCCCTCAAACAAAACAGCGCTCAACGCACCCTGTTCCAAACGTGCCCCCCAAAACACGAATCTCAAGGCCAGGCCAGGCCAAACAGCTCGAACCATGTGATGCCAGCACATAATCTTACACAGCTTACACAGCTGAGCTAATCACCGCAATCACAAGGTCGCATGAGGCGTCAGGGTGGCTGACCGGTTGGAAGTTGATGGCCTCTTGGGTACACAGTACGGGGCCTTGCCCAGCGCATTGCCAATGCATTTGGATCCAAACGAAGCAGAGAAGCCTCAAACCCCGCAAGCAAGACGAGGCTCAAGATGTTTCACGCCTGAGGCACTAGGCCATACCGTGCGAAATCGGAGCAGTACCTTCTATACAATGAAGCCTTATATACTATCGGGTCAATAAGAGTTGGGGTAGCTTTTTGCTGTATATCTGTATTCAAGCATAATGGGAACTCTAACCATCCAAACCCACAGGCCCTTCCTGGCGAGCTCTGGAAGTGCTCCGGCAAGGCCACCTCACCGAGAGCCTGGCCCATCAGGGTTTCGGCAGCCACAACTCGGGCGCGGATGTCTCTACAGGCTTCTAGGCTTCCGGGCAAGCCCCAAAGCTCCAGCAAAAAAGCCTGCCTTTTTGATGCTCTCTCCAGTTTCCACTCACTGGTTCCAGAACAGCAGTTGCCAGGTTTTTTTTGAACGCCTTTTTCCACCTAGCAGTTAAGGTCGGCGAAACCCACGGTTGTGGGAGGCAGTTGCCAGGGTTTAGGGCTGAGGGTTCTTCTCGACAAAAGTTTTGTGGTCGAAGCTACAGAAAGTCTCAGACAGAAGACAGGAGCAGCCAAAAGCTGCTTCCCGCTTCCGAGAAAATCTAGGAGCCTGCCTGATCAGAATCGTGCTCCGGGTATATTAGAAGAACTCAAAAAAGGCTATAGGGACTATAAAGGGGATGCTGCTACTGCCGATTCAGGCCCTCACATTGCTTGTAATTTCGATCTCGTCACAAGAGATTTTTCGACTCGGTGAGCACTCCTGAACTCTACACCCTAGGGACCTACCAGTTGGAACATGGTTTCGGGGCATAGTATTAGTATTAGACAGTATTAGTCGAGTCTGGCATAAGAAATGGCATAAGGAAACAGCAGTCTTAACTGTTCAGGCTTCTACCTTACTTGTCAAGCTCGCTGCGCTCTACTCAACCAAAGCATCGGCAGCATTGGCGAAGCTTGAAATCACGCGACTTGAAAATCTAAAAGCACATGGTGCTCCGAATGCCCCAAGCTATAAATCCCTGCAAACCCTTTCATCTCGCAAAAAAACCCTCAAAGCCCAAAAAGGTCGATCTCAGCCTCCTGCAAGCGCTCTTGGGCGACAGACCGCGGCAACTCGGACGGAGCCAGGGGCGCGGTCTCCACCCGGGCCCCACCCTGGCAGATCTGGGTGGTTGTCAATATTAGGGTCCCTTTTTGGGTCCTGATTATAATACGGCACCTACTATTTAGTGCACCCCAAAAGAGACCCTAATCTTGACAACTACCCATCTGTGCTTCGGGGATCATCGTAGTTTGACTCGCTTGGCAGGTAACGCACGTCTGTAGCTTTGTCTTACTATGACAGTAGTTGTAGGGTTACTATCATTTTGTATTCGTAGTCGTGCAGCTACTGTTTCTTAGTATCATTCTGGCTATAGGAATGGTTCTTGCGAGTTGTTTGTTATCTTGACCGTTGACATGACCACTGCATGCTAGCGTTTTCAGTTGGAACCTCAAGCTAACTCCGTGCTGCACGGGTCATTGAAGAAAAGGGACCTCTTCAAGGCAGGTAGGCAAACCAGTCGAGCTACGATTTGGGTTTCGGCACTCGCACTCGGACAGGTTTGGGTTTAGGACCAAAGTTTAAAGTTTAGGGGGTTTTAGGGTTTCGACTCACCGGTCGTCAGCCACGATCCAAACATTCCAACCACAGCCAGTTCTCATAAACCCCAAACCCTGAGCCCTTGCACAGCCCACCACAAAACCCCTAAATCCTACACCCGCAAAGCCCTTAAAGGACCCCTTTTCAGCCCTCCAGATCTGAGCCGGCCGTTCTTGATAGCACAAGCATGTCCTGCCTGGAAACAAAGCACGGCAATGTTCATATCATGTTCATTCTACAAGTCGTAGAATAGATTTTACTGAAGTACTAACTTATATATATATATATATATGCACATACAACCACATGCAGACGCCATCATACGTGCAGACACTGCTGTGGCAGTTTGGTTACACACAACCCTAAACCCTAAATTAGATTCTGCAGGCATGCATCCACTGCCACCCTGTTGCCGCCGGCCTGCTCACTCTGCCCAGTCAGAGACAAGGCATCAAGATACCTCGGATCGGAGGGATGCTAACTAACACCCGATCGAGCCCCCACGGCCCTGCACATCCTACAAAACATTGTGTTGCAATGTATAATACACCTTATTACAATTATCGCATAGTAAACCTTATTATCACTATAGTAAGCCCTAAACCCCCGAAGCCCCACACAGTACTGTGTCACCAACCCGCCCAAGGTTCCTTCACAGCCATGCACTAGCTTCCGTCCGAGGAGCGAGGTGAGAGATGCAAGCTGCCTCGGGTGTTCACAGGGATGAAAATGGGCTCATGTTAACGAATAAGGTTTTGGGGCCCATTCTACTATAAATATAATAAGGAACCCCCAGAATATAGGTAATTGTTGAAGCCCCTGTATTCCCCCAGGAGCCCGCAAAGTTTACCCCTGAAAGCCCAACACCCAACCTCTTAGCTCTAAGCTGTCCGAGCGTCACCGGATAGCCCGCCGTCTTCACCTGGGCCTGGTCCAGGTCTAACCTGGCGGCGGGGACATCGAAATAGCATGTTGAATTATAAACCGGTCTGAGGAGTTGTTTAATTGTCTTTGTTAGACAAATTGGGTTATATGGGAGTTTCCGAAAATAGGGGACCCCAATATTCCTAATCGAGTACCCTAAATAGTAGGATCCTGATTAGAAGGACCCCAAAATAAGGTACCCCTAAATTTCGGAAACTCCCATATAATCATTCTTATGGTAGCCCTTATAACCCTTATAGGAACCCTAGGTACCCCTAAATTTCGGAAACTCAGCTTGTCCCTCGCAGACTCGCAGAAAGAATAGAACCTCGCGAAACAGCTGGTCCCGGTTCCCGAAAAGCTCTATAGGGTTTAAGGCCAAGGGTGGCTGAGGCGATACGGCAATTACTGATGAGCGATTGGTGCAAGAAAAACGGCAGGCGACATGGACACTTTCAGATCTCTTGAAGATTTCGCCACTCTGCTTCCCAGCGCTTCCAGCCCACGGCCGGCAGCACAGCATCAATGCACACCTGCCACTTTTCAACTGCTGTGAATTGGAGAGTCAGAAGGCGGGTGACATGCGCAAATTCCGACTGTACGTGCACCTGCGCCGTCTTTGAGTCGCCGTCCTCTTCGATGGACAGTGATTCTTGATCCACCGCGCCGTTCTTGTGAAGAAAGGCCATCACCTGAGGCAAACGCGGCGCATGAGAACCTCTGTACCAACTGCCGACACGACTTGAAACAACTCACCAACAGAAGGGTGGCGAATGGCGGCGATGGAAGATCACGAAGAGAGAGGGATACAAAAACAGGTCACTCGCCTGTGGCATGAGCTGCTGAGGAAACTTCACCGTTCGCCGCTGCTTGTCGAGCTGGGCGCCTATAACCTCAGGCGATCTACCACAAGTATGCGATTTCGCATCCCGCAACATGTAAAACAGCATGTGGGGAATCAAGTCAAGCAGACGGCTGCTCGGAACGAGGCTCGTGGACGTGAGTGCAAAACGCCCATAAGCAATGCAGAGTCTGAACGCACCAGCTAGGCCACACGACGGCGAATATATCGAATATTCCGATGTCCCAGTCAAATCAACGAAACCATTCGACAACCGATCCCTTTCGGCCCAAGCAGCAGCATCCAGGACGTGGAGCAGGTCGTCCACCCCGGTGCCGTCCGCCGCGCAGATGGGCACGGCTTCTGGAGGCACATAGCTCAGAGAGCTCAGGAGGTCGATCTTGTTCCACACCTTCAATGCACGAGTGTGACCGACTAGGGGATATCGGGAAGTACTTTACGAGTTGAGTATGAATGAGACATCAAAGGCGACCTCGGTGAGCGTGAATGATACACGAATGACGCATGAAGGGCAGCACCACAAGCATCAGATAGCTTCAGTATTCGGCCTCGAGTGCCGGGAATGGCAGCTGTTGGTTCGCTGTCGATGTTGAAAAAGCTAGTGATGTCCACCCGACGGCGCACGTGCCATGTCTACATACACATGATGTGTGTATATGTATTCATGTTCGCATGCACGAGTGCATGTATGGAAGACTGCATGTATGCATGTACAGTTGTAATTAATCTGTACATATACAATATATATATATATATATAAACATGTACATATCATGCTTGAGGCGTGTATACATGGGCGTACATGCGTACGCCATGCATACTTCTGTGTCCATCTCCGTCTGCACACTGCCAGTGTGCAGGCAAAACGACATACCGATGATGTTGCGCAGTCGCGCCTCGATCACCGAGGACTGCAGCTTGTTCTCAGGCATTCCAGCGCTACGCAGCGTCTTCAGCACGATGTCCTTCCTTGTCGCCAAGAGTCATGGATGGCTGAGGGCTGGAGGATGTTGTGGGTCTTGAGTTTCGACAGTGTCCCTAGGCAACACGGGGCAAATACTCCACATCCCAAATCGGGGCCCGGCGACTGCATGGTGCGCTGGGGATGTGCAATGTCCCTGACATGCCTCGGCTTTTACGGCCATTACGATGCTGCTGTGGACGCTGTGCTTTGTACCATGCGGCAATATGCAGGTCAATGCATTCCGAAACAGATCATAACCACCCAAGATGCAGTAGCACGTCGCAGCTCACGATCTCGTCTAGTGTTGACTGGAAAGCCGCAAAGAGATTGTGCGGCAAGTGCTGGATGAAGCCAATGCTGTCAGCAATGATTGCATGCCTCATTTGCAGACTTTCGACAGGACCTGGCAACATTGACGGCAAGCAGAAAGTTCACCAATGCATTGAAGCTGCCCGCCGGAAGGCAGCTTGACCCTCCTCATTGTTGTATCCAGGGTCTGGAACAGGAGGTCTCTTTCACGTAGGCCTTCCCACAGGAAACGGAAGCTGGCAGGGGAATATACCTCGGCATACCTCACAAATGCCCGCACGCAGTTTCCAGAAGCCGTCGGGCAAGTAAAGCTTCAAGTCTAATTAAAAAACTTTAAGTCATAAAGTTTCACCCCCTTTCTCCTTGCCAGAAGTGTTGCACTCACCCCCTTAACTTTTGGTCGCGAAGTACGGGAGAGTTCCATACCGCACCGGCGTAAAGTCTATGTACTAGGTTCCTGGGATTGTCCAGGATATTAATTATTAACCCGTTGCTGCGGCGGGAACGCACCCTCAAATGTTACTTCCCTCCCGTCCCAGCCCTGCAAATCCGCGGCTGCCCGTAAAATCCCTAAAAAAGGAGGCTTTCCGGGCCCTGCTGAGCAGAAAGTCCTCAACCTCGGTGTATTTCTAGCATCGGGGCCCTCTTCCGCTCTCAGCCTTTTCCCAAACTGGAAGACCCTCCATCACTCAGACACTCGTTAAAAGCCTCCAAAGGTCAAGCAGAATCCGAACTCTCGACTCCCACCTGCATCGGTGAGGCGGTTCATCAGAGAGGTCTTCCCTGCACAGCAAAAGCTTTCAGGCCCAAGCCCAGCCGCCCAGGATCGAAATAGCGGGTGCAAAAACCAAATTCTCTGGGGCTGTTCGGACCCCGACAAATCATCTAAAGCTGGGCGCTCCAATGCCTCAGACTGAGCTGTCTTGGGTGTGAATTCATGCTTTGGCTGTTGGTGCTGCTGTGTCGATCACTGTGACGAAGGAGGTTGACCCGTTCTACGACCACTCCTGCCGACAGAAGGCAGTCCCAGCAATGTATATACGACACAGAACCCTCAACCCAAGGCTGCCGTTTCAGTGCGCCGGAGGTTTTAGCATAGCCGCGCACCTGCTTGAACCTCCCGGGGCTTCCAGTTCCCCGAAACCATGCTGCAAGATCGAAGCACGAGTCTATCGTAGAGATTCCAATGTAATAATCATGAAGGCCTGCGTTCGTGTATCCCACGATGCCGATAGTTGGCACACCCTCGCGGTTTATGCGCTGCAGCTTCCGCGACCTCTTCTCCTGAACTGCATGGCAGCAACAGGAAGTCTACGTAAGTTCGGTGTCCCCACTTCCCGTCTACACTGTATGGGCGCAGCCCGAGAAGATCTGATAAAAAGTCAGAAACCGGCTTCAAATTTCCTGCGAGTCTCCGTCTCCAGAAACTTCTTCATACGCGCTTGCGCGATGCGTAGGAGTGTCCGCTCTGTTTCAAACGGCGTCGTCTCGTAGTGGTACTGAATCTCCACGTCGCTCTTGAAGCCAGTGACCTGGCGAATCTGGGTCTTTTCCTGCCTCCGCAAGGAAACTCAAACCTATACAAGCCCAGGATATCCCAGGTTTCAACCCTCAAGTTTCAATTAGAATAAAAAGCCGTCAACCTACCAAAAAAAAAGGTTGGGCCCCCAAGAACACCTCTGTCCCAATCCACGCCATCCATCCCGTATCAAACTAGCTCGTCATCTTCGTCATGACGCCATGGGTGTCATTGTTGTCTATTACTACCATTATAAGTACTATTACCTCTGCTCTTGGTATAACTTATACCCTAAACCCTATGGCTGTTTGTTGTTAAGCTTCTTACTGTGCTAGCTGGCCTCTCATGACTAGGGAAGGGAAGGTCAGAACCACAATCAGCACTGCACATCATCCGCGGCATACCACTACTTACGAAGGGAAGGAGGACAGTACGAACCAAAAAGGAAAAGCCTTGGACCCCAACAGGGTCACGCACACACACGCACACACATACATACATGCGTACGTACGTACATGCATACATGCATGCATACCTGCGTGCCTGCCTGACATGCATGCATGCAGACGGGTGTGTATACACATACATATATGTGTATATGTATACATGCACACATATACATATATATGGTTGTGCACTGTGCGTTCTCGCCCCCCCCCCCCCCAATGGTATCCCCCCCACCTACACGGGCCTGAAGCCTCGAGGCAGGGCTTCCGTGTGAGCAATAAGCAAAATGTTCTAGGCAACACTCAGCAAGATTATTGGTGTCCCAAAATATCCAAGAAAGACTATGTCAAATGCCTTAAAAAACGGGTTCCAGGCAATACTTTGTAACATGATTCACGTACCGAGGGGCTCTAAGCAAGGTTCTAATGTAAAAGTCGTAGTAAAGGGGTTCTAGGCAATACTTCGTCGGATTATTCGTGCAGTTAAGGGCTTCTAGGCAATGCTTCGTCAGATGATTCGTGCAGTTAAGGGGTTCTCGGCAATACTTCGATAGAATATTCGTGCAGTTAAGGGGTTCTAGGCAATACTTCGTTAGATTATTCGTGCAGTTAAAGGGTTCTAGGCAATACTTCGATAGATTCGTCGTGCGATTAAGGGGTTCTAGGCAATACTTGGCTAGATAATTCGTGTTCCAAGGGGTAGTAGTTCACAAGTTCCAGGCCATACCCAGCCTTCGTCTGAATCATAGTAAAAGTGATCGAAGCAATCCTTACGAAGACTATTCGCCTTCCGAGGGGGTTGTAAGCAACTTGTCGTATGAATAGTAGTAAAAGGGTTCGGTGCAATACTCGCTAACCTTTCGTATGAGCAGTAGTAACAAGGTTCTTGGTGATGCTTAGTAAGATTATTCGTGTTGCGAGGGATTTTAAACAAAATTTGGTCAAAGCAATACAGGGTAATACGTGACTATGCCTGTTATGGAGGGCTCTAAACAAGGTTGCGCAAGGGGGGTGCTAAACAGGTTCTACGCAGTATTTACGATGACTACTGCTTAGAACCTGGGGGGCCCAGAAATTAGTAGCGCTTACATCATCAAATCAGAAAGTGCAAAACCCTTCTGCTATTAAAAAGCTTTAACAGCATGGCGCTCGCCACTGTTTCTTGCAGGAGCTACGAGTCCACAGCAGGCTGCTTTGCTCTCGCCATGCTCTTGGGCCTGCATGAAGGGGCCGTTTGCGTCGCCCGCGTCTGCGGAGACAGCTTTCGGGAGCAACTTCAAGTCGCCCTCGTGTCGGAGAAGGATGTCCCCTGTATTGATGGCTTGAATTTTCACGATGCCCCCGTTGTTTTCAACTACTGTAAAATCCGGCGCTTTACCCTCGTTACACATGAATTTACCGCCACCGCTCTTGCTGGTGTACTGCGAATTCTTGGCTAGGACGCGATCGCCTGAGACTGGCACTATGTCCTGTGCTGCTCGTTTGCGCTTGCGGAAAATATCTTTCTTGAGAGCTGCACGCATGTGTGCATTCTCGACTGCAGCCTGAGTGGGCTGCAGTCGGCGATGGTACTCATCGGCGTGCTTCTGATAGTGGTCAGGGCCCAGATCCTCATCCTTGTCCAAGAAATGAAACCATTCCTCATCTGCTATCTCCGTCTCTTTTGAAAGGATCTGTGGGAGGCCCACATTGCGCCAACCGGATTGCGGCTGTCGCATGACTCGCCACAGGGTCTCTGGTGCAACCCCAAATTTCCTCAAATGCGATTTGTTGTAAGCGAGAACCGCAGCAGGCAGGCGGGCACGGACCCCACCATGTGCGAAGTCTAGCACCTTGTTCATACACTCTGTCAAGCCATTGGCTTGAAGGTGGCCAGGCGGGATTGTCCTGGTCCGTAGCCCAATCGCTTGCTCGAGTGCCTCGATGTCAGCCGTGTTTACTCAAAACACTGTTGTTCACTATAACTAGGCCGAGCGATAGGAATCGTTGCAGCGGGATTCGGTGCGCGCGGAGTGCAGCGAAAGTTCTGCGGAAGTTGGACCGCATTTTATGGAGGGGGTTGCAGGATGTATGGTTGAGACTCGAACGTTCTCAACTTAGTTGTGGCTTGAAGAAGTTGAAAGCATATGTGTATTAAAGTTAATTTTGTTGACCCGTGCCCCCGGGTGGTCTCACCACTTCACCCTGCCTGTAGAGGGTAAGAGTCAACAAAAATCGCTAGAACCCAGAACCAGGAAACCATACCGCAGCCTACGCCCTAAAGCACCGCAGCCTAGACCCTAAAGTACATGTCACCAAAACCGATTTCGTTCGCCCGTGCCCCCGGGTGGTCTCACCATTTCACCCTCCCTGTAGAGGGCACGAGTGAAGATATCTTTACACCCGAGAATAGCTACGGGAATACAGGATGGAGGGGGTTGCAGGATGTATGGTTGAGACTCGAACGTTCTCAACTTAGTTGTGGCTTAAATTTGAAAGTATATGTGCATTAGGACTTAATTTGTTCACAAGTGCCCCCACGTGGTCTCACTATTTCACCCGCCCTGTAGAGAGCAAGAGTGAACAAAAATCACTAGAACCCAGCAAAAAACAGGTAGTATCCGACAGCGACCGAAAGTTCCTACCACCATGTGAGTAGGATACTCAGCGAAGTTCAGGCTCAAATTCCTTCCAGAAGAAAGAAGCGCTTAAACCGCACTGTGCATGCAGTGGAATGCGAACGCTCGACCGAAATTCACGCTCTGCAGACACAAACAAAACCAGGTCTCCTGTGAGAGGTTCTGGTCACCCACTGATTGATTCGTCAGCTTAAGACTGTCGACTTCACAAGCTTTCGACATGAGGGTTCAGAACACAAGGTTCAGCATGGATTGACTGATAAATGTTCCACAGTTCTACTTCCCCCCTGGCCCGCACGCACAGTTGGAAATAGGGCAAACCATCCTGCTGCACAGGGGGGTGGGTGGGGGGGATAGAATGGCCATATATTCAGAAAGACATGGTGTGTGTGTGTGTATGGCACAAGGGAAAACCATCTCGTTCCACAGTTCTACTTCCTCCCTGGCCCGCACGCACAGTTGGAAACAGGGCAAACCATCCTGTTCCACGGGGGGGGGGGGAGGGGGGATAGAATGGCCATACATTCAGAAAGACATGGTGTGTGGGTGTGTGTGTGTGGCAAAAGGGAAAACCATCCCGTTCCACAGTTCTACTTCCTCCCTGGCTCGCACGCACAGTTGGAAATAGGGCAAACCATCCTGTTCCACAGGGGGGGGGCGGGGAAATAGAAAAGGCAAACCATGCCGTTCCACAGGGGGGGGGCGGGGAGAGGGGGGGGGGAAATAGCGAAGGCAAACCATGCCGTTCCAAAGGAGGGGGGGCGGAGAGAACACACGTCCATTCCTTGGGCAAACATATACGAGTACATATAACAGGATACCATAGGGGGGAGGGGGCGGCCGCCGGGGTGCAACCATATATACATGCATACATACATACATACATATATGTATATATAATTATATATACGTATACATATATACACCTGCAACGCATGCACACACACACACACACACGCACACACACACACACACACACACACATACACACACGCACGGAGATAAGGAGTCCATCAGGACAATTCCACTCGATTCCATTTCTAAATACGAGGTAGATCTTCGAGACCGTCCATAATCCTTAAAGACCGTCAACCTGTGGCAAGAACTGGCAGGATCAGACGCGACTGAAGCAAACATGTTGAATCTCACTGCTCCGATACACGATGGCAACAATGTACAGCGATAATTGTCACTCCGAATTGATCGAAACGGCAGGTACGTGAGCTAGGCGTCCCCAGCTCATATCAGTGATCTGTAACAGCCTCTTCGTTGGACCGTCACTGTTACAGACCAGACGGTCCCCCTGCCACAAATCCTGTATTGTTCCAGAAACCCTTAGCTTAGAATCAGGGTGTACACACACACACACACCCCTCCACAGAGGGGATAAGCGTCCTGAGGCTCGCTTTTTCTTCCTTAGTATGGTCATCGTCGTCATCGTCGTCGTCGGAGAGAAAAGGAGAGAAGGCGAGAAAAGAAGACGATAGCTCGGCTGACAGACGACTAGAAAGAGGAAAGAGGGGGGAGAGAGCGAGAAAAGATGACGATAGCTCGGCTGACGGACTGAGAAGACAAGCGGTCCTTAGTCCCTGAAGGCAGTACTCACGGCTCCTTCTCTCTGCAACGGCTCCATGTTAACAGCGCGAAAGGTAGCTACAAACCGCAAAACAAGCCAAGATGCTGCCAGGTCCATTTAGGCCACGTAAGCCCATCACCTGACCAATCGGGGCACCATTGTTCCGATTGCTCGCTAGGAGCACTTAGACCCATCACCTGACAAGAAAGGGCCACTCTTTACAATGCCTTTGCACTATTGACCTGTCCCGAAGGAGTACGGCCTGTTATGGTACCATCATGGGCCGCAAAACGTACCCTGGCAGTCCGCAGGAGCGGTTGTTGCCGTTGGCGACAAGGCCACACACGGAGATAAGGAGTCCATCAGGACAATTCCACTCGATTCCATTTCTAAATACGAGGTAGATCTTCGAGACCGTCCATAATCCTTAAAGACCGTCAACCTGTGGCAAGAACTGGCAGGATCAGACGCGACTGGAGCAAACATGTTGAATCTCACTGCTCCGATACACGATGGCAACAATGTACAGCGATAATTGTCACTCCGAATTGATCGAAACGGCAGGTACGTGAGCTAAGCGTCCCCAGCTCATATCAGTGATCTGTAACAGCCTCTTCGTTGGACCGTCACTGTTACAGACCAGACGGTCCCCCTGCCACAAATCCTGTATTGTTCCAGAAACCCTTAGCTTAGAATCAGGGTGTACACACGCACACACACACACACACACACCCACACACGCACACACGCACACACGCACACACGCACACACGCACACGCACACGCACACGCACACGACTGCCTCTTTGAAGGGGCCCACTTGCTCGTGTAGCAGCTTGATCGTTTCCCGCAGGCGCGCTTTGGTGCCCAAGGTAAGCCGAGTCTTCAGATACCTTGGCTCTGGGTCCTGCCGCCACCCTGTAACAGTCTATATGGCGGGGTCATACTAAGGGCTATACACGATTATACTACAAATTACTACAATTACCCATCCTTGGCTCGCTGCCACCTCGAAAGGTTCTACTCTGATATGGGCTGCGGACGTAGGTATTGTTGCATCTTTAGTTCGCTAGCCAAAGCTGGTCGGCGAGCTGGACCCAACTCTGCAAGTTTTAGATTTCAGGTGTCCCCCCTCTCTGTGTCTCTAAGCCCATGCCGGCTTGTTCTGCAGAACCACAGGTCAACAATGCCCTCCAAGCCCTAAAGACCCACCGGCATTCCAACCTATGAGCCTTACCAGCCTTACTAACTAGAATAGGGTTTCAGGGTATGTTATCGTACTTATTGATCAACAAATTTTGAGGCCCCCATATCATCCCCCAGCCTTCCCGCTCAAGCGCTCAAGGCACGCCAAGTCACTCCAGCCGGGCCAGCCCCACCTTTAGGGTTTCGGCGCTCACACTCGGACAGTCCTTTAGGGTTTGGGGTTAAGGGTTTTTAGGGTTCATTGGAGTTGCAAACAAACACGCGGCCTCAATAGAGACTAGGTTCTTGTTTTGAAGCTCGAAGTTTGTTCAAAAAATCTAGGACAATATGAATTCTGACTTTCTGTGGGGTCCTTTTTCGTCTAAGGACCACGAAGCAAGCTTCCCTACTTTTTCAACCCCACCTGCACTTTGGCCTGCGGTGTGCGAGCTCGTAGGCTGAAGATCTCTAGTACCTCCGTGGGTTAAGGTTTTGGGCTTCTTGGGGGTCAGGGGTTTTGAGGTTTTGGGTTTGAAATCTCATCGGGGTGGTTCGGGCTTTTTGGGCTTCAAGGTTTCGGGTTTGGGGATTCCGTTTCTTTGGCTTCGGAATCTAAGAATTAGGGCTTAGTGGATTCTCTGGCTCTAGCTTTGGGGGATCATATTGGCAAGCATTCAGGCCGACAAATTGCTTCCGCTCCGGGCCTCTCTCTCTCTCTCTCTCTTTCTTTCGCCAGGGCTATGGGCAAGAGGTTTGACCCCCTTGCCCGCGCGCTCGTGCGCCCCCGACTGTTGGGAGGTGAGCATCGACAATCTGCTACCCCCGGCTCTTGCAAGTGGAAAAAGGAACTCGCATCGCTCAGCAACTGCAATTCGAGAAGCCACAACTAACGATCAGGGCCTGTAGTATGGCAATAACGAATAAAACTGCCTTGAGTTGCTGATTCGGGGATGTTCCCCGTGCAAGAAGTTCACATTTTGCCGGGTAAGAAAAGTGGGTCGGGTCGCAACAGAGCATGTATATAGGAGATGACAGAGAAGGGCAAAGCCTGGAAACATACTCACATACAACGGAGGGCAGACACTCGACCCTGGGGACGTCTCCCCGCGCTTGTCAAGGATACACATCCTTGTTCAAGGCCTTGCCTGGAACTTCCTGCTGCGTCCGCTATCGGGGGACGTCCCATGTAACAATAACATCCTTCCTGGAACTTCTGGACGGTGCAGCAAAATCACAACCCTGGCGTACTCGTGACTGCATTTGTGTGTACTGTTCAATCTTTTCTTTGTTGATTCCTTCTCCTGGCCAGGCTAAGTAAAAAAGGAGATGCTGCGCGTGTAGATGCAGAGCTTGTAGTGGGCCCTGACAAGACCCCTCCACACCGAACTAGGCTTCTTGACTGGTCCCTTTTATGTTTGTACCGAAGTTGAATCGGGCTTGTGAGCGATCTTGTTGAAGCTTTCCACGTCATCGCGAGACACTGCATCATAGAGGACCCCTCCGCGCTCCTTGTAGATCAATCCGGCTTCTCCTTTGATGAGCAGCGTTAGGTAGGGTGGCGACACTCTTCCATGATACAGGATAGCTTGAACCTCCGTCGCCACATCTGCCATGCTTGCATTTTTCATGAAGGAGTTCAAGACATGTGAGCTAGTTACGATGGCAATGCAGCGAAGCTTTCCATTGTTCGCGAGTTGTGATCCCTCTTCGATTGCTCTCTTGAGCTCGCCCGTGGTGAAGACCGGGTTGTCAAGTAGCACAATATCCTCATGTCGCATCGCCTCAACTGCGAAATTTTGCATTCGAGTGTTTCGATCGAATCGTCGCACCAAAGTCATCCCATTTGCGAGGGCATCAGGAACTGCCTTGGAAATACGCGATGTGACCGCTAACTCAAGGGTAGCGTCTCGACCGATAGCTGTGCTTGAGGCGATTGCATTGATGACGTATTGCATACCACCGTTGTCACCCGGCTCGGCTTTTTCATCAACTTTTTGAGAGAGCTCCAGGGCCGCTTTCGCTAGTGCCAGAGTCAGGGCACCGCGCTCATCCTTCGACATCTGCTGCGTCACTTCAGCCAGAAATGACTCCGCCGTTGGGAGGTTGTCCTTTTCATGGACTTCGTCCTTGTTCCTTGATGCGTGCTTAGCGTAGACTCGTGCGAAGGAGGCAATCGCTCGGGCCCCTGACTGGCTAGACATCGCAGCAGAGAAGAGGCTGATCTCAAAGTTGCTGTTGATCTTGTCTGGGTGTGGCTTGAGCCAAAATGGCTCTCTCTCTCTCTCTCTCTCTCTCTCTCTCCCGGGCATAGGGGTCGGTTAGGACCCCCGGGCTTCAAGCCCACCCGCATGTTTGTTATGCGAGTTTTTTTTTGGGGGGGGCGGGGTGAGGAACGAGCATAAGTCCCCGGCAAGTGCTAAAGCTGAATAAATGCAATGGAAACTAGTGGGAGGAATGTATACTCTCAAAGACAAGATCTCTCCCTCTCTCTGCCGTGCCATCATCAAGTGTCTCGCAATGCAAGGGCACGAAAAAGCAGGCCAGAATATCAGGAGGCATAGCTCAAAGACAAGATGTCCAACAGCAGTGTCTGTCTCTCTCTCTCTCTCTCTCTGTGTCTCTGTGTCTCTGTGTCTGTGTGTCTCTCTCTCTCTCTCTCTCTCTCTGCATCCAACAGGTCAACGACCGCAACCACGACCGACGCGCTTGCGATATGAGTTTAATGCTGTCAGTACTCTTCATAGAGAAGATGAATTTAATGGTCTGCTCTTACCATGGAAGTTTCTGGTTTGGAAACAGCGAGCTTGGGGCCATCATTTGAAGCTCAGTCAAAATTGAAATGCCAATGGAAAGTAAGTCCTCAACTGGCGACCCTGCTGCTGCGCACGAGAAGGTTGCACGCTATCAAAACTTGAGTCTCGTTAACCGTTAACTAACACCGATAAACTTTATTTGGCAATCTGCAACTGCTCCGAGTCGCCAAGCGGTTGCGGTCGATGACCTGCACGAAGGCACTACGATTCAACATGCTTCAGTTTTAAGTTTCAAGCCGGTGAACTTGCTGGGTTTCCTAAGTCCTCAGCATTGCGCAAGCATCCGATTGGACCGGAGTGTGGAGTGTCAATGCCAAGATTTCAATATGGCCAACTTCCTCTCAAACAGGATTCAACCTTCTCAATCCTTGCGACTCAGCACCATGCGCTGCCTCTACAGAGGCCTTGCTGCCCCCTTTTGGGACTGCCAAGCCCTGCTCACGCCGCTCGTTTGCGTCCCCTGCTGCCACGGCATTGTTGAATACCTGGACACACTCTTACTTTTTGCAGTTTCGGATTTGCTATGACATGCAGATGGGCCAACTCAACGGGCCTTCGTGCTTTACGTTATGTAGCAGTACTCACAATACAAACTTCACTGAGCGACATCTTGCACAGCATGTTAGATGTGGAAAGTGCGCTTCTTGCTCGGCGGTACCCGACTCAAGGCCAAAGCTAAATGCAGAAGTATACATGCCAGACTACTATGCAGCACTATCGACAGATGGAATGGAAACAACGAAGCTTGAACAAGCATGAGCTTAGAGCTTCGGGAAGAACCGTCCCGAAGTTAAGTTCACTCAGACGGCAGGCTGGACCAAGCCCAAACCTACGCACACCCACAATCGAAACCGCGTGACGACCCCAGCGACAAGCCGAAACAGCCTCAACACTAATACCGTCCAGGTGCTGGCACGAACACCTATCCGCAATTTGATATTTTTGACACGCACACTCGGACAGCAGCAGGCAAGTTCTGCAACTTAACATTAAGGTAAGCTTCCGTCTCCAGATTGCGCGTCTGGTTCGGTGTCAGCGTCGTGTTGATGAAGACATAGCTACATGGATTCTCGGCCAAATACAAAGCCAGCTCGGTGACCTGGCGGTTTCCAAAAATAGAGACCCCTGAAATAGTACCCCAAATAGTGGATCCTGAACATAAGGACTCCAACCTAAACAAGGTTCCCCTAATTTTCGGAAACACCCACCTTGCCCTTGCCGAAGAAGGTGTTTGGATCTATCTGCCGGACCTTCTGGATGCAAGTCTCTGCCCATTGTCTCTTCACCTTGCCGTTTTTCCAGGCCGCTTCATGTATGTCATACTCGTCATCGCTCTCCTGCACGGCGATGAAAGGTTACCCTACAACCTTCCGCTTCTGGCCATGCCTCGTGGCATTGAAATCTCAGTTTCGCAGCTGGGCTCTTAGCGTCAGCCACCAATCCGAAAAAACCCTAAAGATCCTCTCGAAAGGCGAACCCTGAGATCGCCCAAATCAATATGCAGGGGCCTGAATATGGCTTGGGCTATGCTAGACATTGGGGCCGCAAAGCATGTACTATATTGCAATTATTTAGAACCCTACGGTACCATCTTTGGTCTCCTCCTCTCCGCGGTCGAGGTGCCAGCCTTTCCAACAAGCTCGGGAGCGCGGACGTCTCAACAACTGCAGGTGCCTTCATATTCCGTTTGGGGGTGTCGACATAAGTCCCAGGCACTCGGGTACAAAGAATCGTACCTGCTGCAAGCCCCAAAACCTCAAGACCCCGAGAAGAGCATACACCCCGCATGAACCATGTAACACCAGTGTGCATAAGTACATGTACAAGGATGTGTGTGGGCAACCCACCTAGAGAAGAACCTCAAATCTGCACACTTACATACCCTATAAAGAGCAGCCCTAAACCCCAGACCCTGTAGACCCTATAGACCCTAAACTGTGCCTTAGTAATTAGAATAGGTTTTTCGTGCATACTATACTATATAGTTATAATAAGGAGCCCCAAAATAGTATAGGTAATTCATTCAGGCCAATGTGCAGTGCGTTTATCTTTCCAGGTAAACCCTAAACCCTAAACGCGAAGCTCTCTCCAGGAACTCCCGGCGGCTTGAGCCTTCAGGCGCCGACCAGGCACCCGAGGCCTGGCGTCGAAGCAGGTCCTCGCGATGAGATCCCCTAATGTAGAGCCTTACCCTAAGGCCCTAAGGCCCCCAAAGTAGTTCCTTTTTGGGGGATATATAAAATGCTATAAGGTCATCCCAAAAAGGAACTACTTTGGGGCCTATGGGTAATAATTAGAATAGGGTCTTGGTGGTGCCTTATTTTGATTTTAGGAGCATATGCCCCCAAACCCTATTCTAATTATGAAGGACACTACAGTACGGGATCTCGGTTACGGGCTTGAGCGGACGGGGTTTAGGGGTTTCAGGGTTCAGGGGGTTTAGGGGTTTAGGGCTTTTCCCCTCTCACATGGCTAGGGATCTACTGCTCGGACGTTCCAGGCAAGGCATGTGTCGTTTGCATGTTTCGGTTCAAACCGTGAACCTAGTAACTTTTGGGTGCGGAGGAAGGAGTTCGGATTTTGTGGAGACGATCCAGGCACTGGACTTGGCCTACTGCTAAAGTGCTGCTAAACAGGCGGATGAAACCGTCGAGCTCAGTGAGTTGAAACTCAATGCTGAGCTAGATTTCAGCTCAGGGTCAAGAGTTCCGGCTTTAGCTTGACATGACCTGGTTCTCTCTGTCGCTCGCATGGCTCGGACTTCAAGATTCTAACTAGTACGAACCAGGAAGCTCCTTCCTGCTTTACTGAACCTCCACAGGTCGCTTAAACTCCGAATTGAGGGACTTGGCTTCTCTGACTCTGCCTGTCTTAGATGCCTTTCATTTCTTCATCCCTGAACCCAAAAGGCATATGAACCCAAGCGTTAAACACGTAAAACGGCAACATGTGTTCCCATGCTGCCCTCTGAGCACCGCCACCCAGCGTCTGCCTCTAGTGAACAGCCTTAAGCGACACCTGCGGTATCCAGCTCCTAGGTGTGCTGGAAGACACCTTGAACCCTGATGTCCTGAAAGCCCTAAACTTGTGCAAAATCCCATCAGCCCCTTTGCATCCAGGCCTATTACGACTGCCGGGTACCCCTGAAGAAAAGAAACTGAGGGCCACCCAAGAGCCCTGGAAGCTTCCAACTCGAAGAAACCAAGCGCACTTAGTATTAATATTCTTCATATTCATAACTATTCATAACAATAACAATGGCGTGCCATGTGGGTGACAAAAAAATTATTAAGACCAAGTCACTTCTGCCTCAGCAGCCGCAAAAGCCTTGACAAGGAAGTGATGGCGTAGCACAGACAAAACGACGACGGGTTTAGAGCCTCTTCAAGCCTCCCACTTCGCGAGGACGAGCCCGCATGGCAGGGTTAGACAAGTCGGACAAGGAACGAGATTCACGTTGTGACTTTGTGCAAAACTAGAGCTTCCGAACTTCGAGGATCTTACCCACACCCTTCGCCAGTTGCCACCAGGTTTTGGAGTTGGGCAGATTATGGAGATTTATGGGTTCAGGGTTCACGATTTCCCAGAGGCCCATTAGTAGTTCCTTTTTGGGATCACCTTATAAACTTCTACATATGAACCCCCAAAAGGAACTAGTATGGTGCCCATGGGTACCGCAGAGGGCTCAAAGGTTCAGCTTGCAGGGTTGTTGGTGATTGCCCTGTTTGCTTGCTCAGCTATAGTGTAAACTGTGGGGCACAGCCGGTCTCGGGCTGGTCCTGCGGATATCACCAAACTATATACTCAACAGTGTTTGATAGTATTCGCAGGGCTCTTTAGCCGGAACAGACAGGCCGTTTGCAGAAGGTCACCACTGGTGTTGAGATCTGTTGCCCGAAGAGCCGGCAAAGCAGAATCTCTTCCAATAACAACTCTCGATTCCCCAGACCTACATGAACAAGACTAACAAGACTAGTCGTACTACTTGTACTACTATCACCAGTACCATTTTTTTGCACCATCAGTACCGCTAACCCCGAATGCCCGCAGACGCGGCCCCGCTAGCAAACCTCACTCCACCTCAAACCCTAAACTACTTTAAACCCTTTTGCCTTCTTCCCTAAAGCCCTAAACTTTAGCCCCAAACGCTGAAACCCTTGCACCCTGAACTTTAAGCTCTTTTTTCCATCATGCCTTGTGCAATCGCCTGCACGTCTGAGCAACACGGAAGCGCTCATGACTGATCTTCCATGCCTTGCTCAAAACCCCGCAGGGACAAACTCGAAAACCCAAACAACCCCAAAACATCCCGAAACCATGAGCACCACATAGCACCACCCTTGCTTCCAAGGGGCCTCGTGGTCCCAGCCCCCAGAAGGCTCGCCGTTTGGTCCTTTGCAGGACACGGCGTGTCTCAGTTCCATGGAGCAGGCAGAAGACCCAACGTGGAGTACCAGGTGAACCGTTGCCAGGCCCGTTTTGGCTGTGAGAAAGAACTTCTCCCTGCAGAGCATGGCATCATCGTGCTGCTGGGGCTGAAACGTCCAGGCATGATTACGCATTCCTCGCTCCCGGGCCCCAAAAATGTGCCCAAAACCCGCGGCTTCATGGCACAGGGGTTTAGGATGATTCTGCTGAAGCTCTCTATATGTTGATGTTAGTTACTAAACCCTGCGCCCTCAACCCCAGAGCATCATCGCTGAGCACCCTGGGCACAGAGCCCACCTGGCAGTAAGTCCCATCGGTTGGCTCTCGCCAGGCCCAGTGCCTTCGAAGGAAGGTTCATGAATCTAACTAATAGCCTTGCGGCGCAGAACCGCCGCGTGCAACATAACTAATATATGGCATGTGTATGCATAAAGATATACCAGTAGTAAGGTATGTATACATATTTGTCCTATGGAACGGATGGTATAAGATATAAGATGACATAAGAAAGGCGATAAAACATGATAAACACTATGGTGAGCCCTATAAGGGAGTTTGAGCTTTTTGCTGGATTCCCGTTCCGTCTGCCAGGTTGGGTCGTATTTTGCCTCCTCCTTCTTGTGCTAAACCCTAAACTTAAAGCGAAACTGTCTTCCCCTTCAGGGATCCGTCTGACCGGAACTGTGCCAGGCTACTTGTACCTACCAATGTTGGTAAAGATCGTTTGCTTTTCCTGTGCTTCTTTGGGAGTTCTGGGTCGGTTTCGGCAGTTGAGCACTACACTCTAAGTCATATACCGTAGGATCTAAACCTTACTTGAGAACACTCTTGCAAAACATACGGTCTGCTCTGAGAACAGGTGCAAGCTGTTTTCCTCCTCGAACGAAGACTGGCAGTCTGTAGCAATTGCGTCCTGCCATGTAGGGGGCTTCAAAAAGTCGCGCGATCGATGATATCTCAACAAGTCCTCCGCGACAGAATCAAGCCTTTGGAGCCCCTCTATTCTGCATCCGGGCGCGCTAAGGCCGTGCTTCCGAAAGGAAAGCCGCTGAAACAGGTGCTAAAGACCTGCTGTGCCCAGTGCCCGCCAAAGCCCCAGAGGCAAGAGCAAAGGTAAAGCGAAAGAAAACACACACTGACATGCAATGCCAAGCTGTAACAAGCTGTTACTCATGGACTACCACGCTTTCGCTTCTCTGCGCCTCGGGGAATGCTTGGAACTTCAATGAATTCGCGAAGCAAATTCGGGATGCAAAGTAGAGGCCACAAACTTGGAAGGTAGAACAACGCAGGTAGTACGTTTCATGTCCCAATGTGATGGATATGTGCATGAATGGGGTGCTTTCTGGCTTCTACTGTACAGCTCCAGCTCTGTGGCACGATAACGGCAAAACACCCATCTGTGGTGTCGAGCTGCTTGAGGAAGTCATGCAAGGCTGTTAACCGAATCGTTCCAGGAGTTGTGTTCCAACTTGTCCATGGCACGATCAATGTATTTGCCTCATGTTGTGCTCTCATGCAGAAAGATCTCCGAAGCTTTCCCTAAGTGCTCGGATTGCAATGCTCGCGGCGTATGAGGACACGACTGCTCGAATCCAGTCGGGTGCCCTCATCTCGGCCAAAAGGCCTTCCAAGTCTCGACCTTTCCTATCCTTGCAAGTCGGGTTAGCCCCAGGAGCAGGAGTTTAACCATGCGCCAGTCCTTCTTCTGAGCTGCCTTGTGCAGCGGGTACGTGCGCTGGAACCCAAATGCATGCGTCTTCGGCGTGTTCAGGTCCAGATCCTCACGGCAGTTGCTGAAGCCGTGCATCCTTAAGAAGTCCAATACGTCGGACTTGGAGTCAGCCAACTGCCATCTTTCCATGCGGCGAAATGTGCCGTCTCGATGCTTCTTCGCTGCCTCGAGGGCAGCGGCCACCGCCACAGCCCCGAAGCAGCTTCTGAATTCATCATCTGCCTCCAGCTTGAAGCGGCCGCCGATCTTCTGAAAGACGAGGTTTGAGGCGAAGGCCATGAGGCCACGAGCCGCGCTTGGCGAGGTGAGATGAGCTTGAGAAACAAAAACCTGCGAGCGGCGACAAAGGCCCTCTTCGGTGCCCTGGCACAGAAACTTGTCGGGGCACTTCTCAACCTAGAAGCTATCAGCACCTATCGTGAAGGCACATATGGGGCCCTAGCGGCCTCTGTATCGGGTATGAGCTCTCACCAGCATTCCCTTTATTTCGTTACCCACATGTGGTCAGGTCACCCTGTCCACACACATCCACACACTGATGCATAAGTTTGCACATGTATATATACATGAATATATATATATATATATATGTATATATATATATACATATACACACACATGCATAAACATAGGCATGCATGTGCACATACAAACACATGTATGTGGGTAGGTATGGTCACAGCTGCCTGTGATCCACCCAGCCTGTTCCTCTATCTTTGCATGCTGTCTTTTCGACAAAGGACTATCGGTGTTCATAGTGCTTGTTCGGTGCACCAATACTTTCCTGTACTTCTTTTTTGTTGCGTGTACTCATTGGGGTCTGATGGCGGTTTGTGACATGTGGACTGGAAAGCATTCGACGAAGCAACACTACCCTGCTCATCTAAAACCGACAACACAAAGTTCTGGGTAGTTCGTGGTGTGCTCCTCGTTTTAGTTCGAATTCTCTCATTGCAGAGAAACAAGAAGGCGCCTTCAGCCATTGCCAGTGGAGAGAACAACACAGACTTCGCATGGTATTACCAAAATTACCATTTGTAGCTGGAGAAAAGATTAACCTGAGCACATACATACCTGCTGCTCCTTCCATTGTATCTTAAACACATTCGATAACGTCGCGCGTTCAAAACGGAACTAGAAGAAATGCTGTTTTTTCCATCTCATCTGCACTAGTAACAGCAGCAAGCATAATGACAGCGTGCCAGCAACAAGAATAAGAAACGACGTGCTACTACTTTCCTACTTTCTGTGAAAGAGGCCTCCTCAGCATCCCAGAGGATTTGTTGCCAAGGTTTCCCCCAGCCAGCAGCGCCGGCCGTCAGAACGGGATGGATGACCACCTTATGTGGGTACGATTGTGTTGGCAAGGGAAACAGTAACAGCGCAGCATTCCCTGCCAATGCTTTCTTCTAATCCGAGGCACAGCTTGTGGTTTTGGGCCATGCAAGCGGAAAGCCAGGGTGTCCTGGTGCAGGTGACCAACTCATGTCGCAGAACCGGCAGAGAAACACAAAGCTGACCACGCCCTTCGACGACGACAACGACCACGACCAGCACGACGGCAACCATCATCTTGTTCATCTTCACCAGGGGAGGCATCATCATCTTCTTCAGCAGTAGCACTATCAACATATTAGTAACATATTCGCCATCGTCATTTAAGCTCTGTGTCGTTTACAGATCTGAACATGCCTTTCGGTTGCAACATATGCTGTGCGAAGCCCCTAGCCCTCAAACGCTAGCGGAAACCCCAACTCGCGTCCTCGTACGAGAAGTGCCGCCGGCCGACCACCGACAACCGCCAAGTGGTGCAGCGCAGGCCAAGCACAGCTCGCATCTGGGTTGGTGCTTGAGGCGGTCTACTCAATGCAGGCCCTTTCTCCCAGGGTAGCTTCTGTGTGGGAGATGTGTGTAAAACTGCAGCAAAGCTTGCTCCTTACGGCTGCCAACAAGGCGAAGCCTGAGCATGGCTGACCCAATGTGTTCCAGAGGGGAAGCTGTCGCTACTGCATTCGTCGACAACGCATCTTTCGAGCACTGATTATGAGTCTTTTGTCGACCTGCAGCGGCCTGTCCTAGTGCATCGATCAGCTATTGATCCGAAGCAACAACGATTCGAACATGGCCATGATATGTAGTGTGGAGCCTGTTCGATTCGCAGCAAAAGAAAGACTGAGAACCACATCAAAAAACGAACAATGGCAATCAGAAGCATAAGAACCATGATCGCTGATCTACTCTCTGGCTGCTTGCTCTCCTTTTCAACATCTCCCATGGTTCCACTCCGTCCTACGCCTCTACACTGCCTAACCCCCTTTTTAAGCACACAACCCTAAACCCAGCCAGCAGGACGAGCTCCTTTGCAGAACCTTGCCATTCGCCGTGTCTTCCCTGAAAGGCAGAAGGAGTAGCTGAGATGTCTTGCAGGCTTGGGACCACGTTTTGGCTCCAGGTGCACAGAGCTTGAACGGGGGGGGTGGGGGTAGCGCTCTGAGGCACGGACCAATTCTGCGCGAGCCTGGCTTCTTCTCTACAGTTCTCACAGGCATTCCCTATGGTTTAACAGAGGGTACCGAAACGAGCACCAAGTGCTGTTCATACTGTCAGCGCCCTCTGGCCCCGAAAAGCTAAGCCAGGGAACTCCCATGCTCCTTCATTCAGATCCAGACTTTTTGTTAAAGCAGGGCTACCCCCCTCCTTCGACCCTGAGCTCATATCCAGACTAATGTTACGAAGGTTCTCACGAGCACCACCTTTGCAAGCACATCTCTCAAAAGGAGTTTCCGAGGATGGGGTTCCCTGATATACTACCTGGTTACCTTAAATAGTAGGATCCTTATAATAAGGACGCCAAGAGAAGGTATCCCTCGTTTTGGGAAACTTCCATATGACTCAAACCATTTGGGAGTTTCCGAAAATGAGGGGTACCTGATTTTGGGGTCCTTATGATAAGGATCCTACTATGTAGGGTAGTAGATTAGGGTCCCCTATTTTCGGAAACCCCATTTGGCACTGAGAAAAGCTTTTCTTGGCCAGCCTGCTCAGGACAGTCGTTCGTCTGAACCTTCGAAAACTCACTCCTTCCTGACATACTATAGGGGCCTTAATGATTAGAAGAGGGTTTGGGGGTATATGATTATGACTGTAATATGGAACCGTTAGATAGTATGAGGGAATTAGTTATTCAGGCCCATATAGTATCCGGTTTCTTGTGTGTGTGTGTGTGTATTCCTTCACCGTGGGCCAACCTCACATATTGGCAGCGTTTGGACGGCAAACTTTCAGTGAAAGCCGGAAAGTTGGAAGATGCGCATCTTAACTTCCAACACCCGAAACACATGGACAAAAATCTTCCAACCTTGCAATCCCAAACTAGCTTGCAGCTTGCAAACAAAGAAACCCGCCCACTTCCCGAGTGATGCCGGGAAAGGAAGACTTGCTGTGTTGTGGCCATCCCTTCTTCAAGGGTGTGGCATGGATCTTTTGGGGGTGGGGGGGGGGGGGGGGGGCTCGGCGGGGCGTGTTCCGCATGAAAGAGTCTACAAACAAACAATCACAGTTGAAAGACCCCTCAAAGCTTCCGTGATCTTGCCGCGAGTGCGGGAAAGCCGGGTGTTGCAAAAAAGCAAAGTTTGAAGATCCAATTCCGGGCCAACCGTTCCATTTCCGAGCTTCCAACTTTCAGGCGTTTTCATATCTTCGGCAGTTCAGGACAAGCACGTTGGGCTAACCAACACAGTTTCTGTCTGTGAAAGGAGTTCCGGTGATACCTCATGCGGCAACTGCGATACGATTTTCGCCTGGCGGATGAACTTTCCGCATCAAAACCTCTCTCTCCGAACTCTTGTTTTGGAATCTGTGTTCAAGGGTTAGGGATGAGACAGCCACAAGAGGAGGTGCAGCCGCGTTCAGCTCATCTGCGTCTTCGCATGTTCAACTTCCGGTTCACTTCTGCGGAGATTCCGTGCTCCCATATTTTCGCAGAAGAGTGAGACCCTGCTCTTGAACTTGCATCGCGAATGAGTGTACTGTCTAAGGCACTTGCCGCATGCCATCTTCACACGGCCATGCGAAGTGCTTTTCAGGATGCTTACATGGAGAGCATCACTTTTATCCTACTTTTCCTTGAAATTTTCAAGCCTCGGTGTTGAGCTGCCTTTGCTTGGGGCTGGGGAAGGAAACTCCCGGAAAGGCTTCGCGAGCATCTAAACGCTTAAGGCCCTGAGCCCGAAAGCTGAACAGGTACTGAAGCGCCGTCCGCCAAGACTGCACATGCCAGTGCCGCTTCAAGTCGGCAGAGACATGGCTCAGACCTCGAAACAGACTGGGTGGGTGTACATGCGTACTGGTATCTATTCGCATAGAAGTACCAGTAATACTATTCCTGGTAACATATTGCAAACATAATAGTAATGGACAAAATAATGGCAACACTTGTCTTCATCCACACAATTCTAACCACACGTAATCATATTCATAATGATCAAAACACTCAGTGTAGTAACAATGAGAAAACTACTTGATTTCTGTTGCTTTTGACATGATGATACTATTCAGAATTTTCTGGTCTTTGAAAAGTGACGCATCCATGCCTGGCTTTCTTTTGTTCGCTTCCGCCGTGCCGCGTAGATTTGCTTCGCTGAAGGATTTGCAGGGCTTTCGCTTGGAGCTTTCCGGACATCTGCTTCGACTGGGGCATTAATCCTGCATGTCCTGGCAAGAAGAAACATCATCTCGGCGGAGCGCTGCGTGGGGGAGGCTGGAAAGCCGCCTCGGCGCCAGCCTCGGTCAACAAACCTACCACTTCACATCTGGGCAGGACTCACCCTGCGACTCAAAATAGCCCAGAAGCTTTAGAACTTTAGATCTTATGGCTGTTGTGGTCTTCGGGCCCAAACGCCTCAAAAAATGGGTCCTCAGAGCTTTAGGGTCAGGGTTGAGCTTGAGATTCTCTAAGGCTCAAAGGGCCAGGGCCGGCTTCGCTTGGAATCGCCGAGGCGAGGGCGGTGGCTGCGAGGCCGCTACTTCGAGGCTCCTCGCGACCTGAGGTCCGTTTGTCGTGGACTGAAGGGTTTAGGGGTTAGGGTTTAGGGTTTAGGGTTTAGGTGAATTACTCTGTCCGTCTGAAATGCATAGCTTGGCTCTCAGCCTTTTATACTGCTGCTTGTGCCGTAATTGGCCGGCTTGGTCGGTTGCTGCCAATCCTAGGTCCCTGACGAACAGGTTTCAGGTCTTGCCGAGCCCGAAAGTCTATCCCAAACCTGCAAGTTCCTACACTCCCAACTCCAGCAGGCTCCGGCAGCTAGCATTCCGAACAATCGAAAGCCATCCAGCAAGCAAACTCTAATCAAACTCGACGATCCTCTACACAAACCCCAAGAGACCGAGCATTCGACACGCGAAAAAACTACTTAGAAATTCCGAAGCAAATAACCCAGCCCCAAAACTCCAGGTGGCTAAACCCCAACAGCTGGGAAACCTCTTGTCCTCGACCTGATACCCTCAACACTTAACCATGGCACCCTACCCCCCGAAGAACCAAAATCTTAACTTAAGCCGCAGGAACAACAGAGCCCAAAGCACCCTAACAAACCGCCCTTTTTGCTACTGCACTCGCCTCAAGTCTAGCCAGTCTACGACCCTAACAAACCGCCCGAAACCCTAAGCTCTATAACCTATAAATCCTGTAAACCCCATAAACCCTAGACCCAACCCCCAAACCCCCAAAAACTCTCTGCCTGGTCCCGGTGCGGCTTCTTCATCGCTATCGGGAACTTCAGCGATGGGCGGGCGCCAGAAGTCGAAGCCTGGTGCTGGGTTCAGGGTTCAGGGGTTACTTGGTAGAAGGGCTTCAGGGCTTAGGGTTGTGGGTTTGGGGTTCTGGGTTCGGCTCACTTCGGGCAGCTGTGCAAAGCTGTCAGGTGTCCCTACTTGGAAGTTCATGGGTAGCTATAAGTGGAGTTATGAGGTCACTATAATTATGACCTACATTAGGGGACTTTTAACACCGCTCATAAGTACCCATGAACCTCCAAGTACATAACGCAAACATGGGCATGCGCTACTACCTGTACTTACCTTCTTGCAGAAAACCAAACCAATCGCACGGGCATGTGTGCTCACACACACCCTCACACACCCAAACATAAACAGACTCACTGCAGTTTTACTTGAACCTATGCGCGGCTTCTAGTGTTTGTCCGGACACGGCCACGGCAGCACGCCTACTGCTGCTATCAGAAGTCATGGAAGAAAAGCCCTAGTATAACATGCTTACCATGAGCAATGTGAACCGTGAACCATCGTGCTCATCATCACTTTCCGGAAATTCTCATCATAAAGGACTACCACTAGCACCTGGTAGCACAGAACATAGCACAACTGTCTCAGGACAGTCCGGGCGCCAAACCAAGACAAATTTGCTATGCCCACCCCAAGCGAAGCTCGTGCTTTTCCACTGAAATGTCGTGTCCGACTCGGATGATGATGACCGGTCGGCACCCAACGACGACGAATAACATGAGGGCCTTAAAGATTAGAACAGGGTTTTAGGGACATCATTCTACTACTATGATAATGATAATAATAACAATAAGGCACCCCCAAAATAGAATTGGCAAGTAATATTGTCCCTATATTACGCCAGTCCCTGACTCCCCCCACCGGAGCCTGGAGCCATGGCTCGGCATCGGAACTCCGAAGGGTGCAGGGTTCTTGGAAAGCTGGTAGGTTGGCTCTTGCGGGCTTCCTCTGACGCTCTTTACCCATAGGCTCCATAGTAGTTCCTTGTCGGGATTACCTTATAGGATTCGAAATATGAACCACAAAAAGGAACTA